GAGCATGTTTGGTGGGATGCGGATTCGAACCCGCGACCCTCAGATTGTGAGTCGAGCGCCTTATCCACCTGGCCATGCCGGGCCTCTAATAGATGAGATCCAAACATTAGAATCTGATCAAACGTGACATTGAACAATGAGAACTCTTACCTTCACGAAACTCATTAAATTAGTTTGTTACCCCTTAGATGTACTCTAAGAATGAGGTTCTAAACAAATATGACACTTAAATTTTCTAAATTCTATTCAAGTCTCCTGTTTTTCGATTCTGAACAATAAGTGAAACTTGGTACCACAATAGAGTAAGTCATCCCACGAACCCATTTCTATCATTTACAGAAACGTTTGCTTTTTTTCCATAGCTAACAGTTGTTGTTGTTGTTTTTTTGCCATTTCAAAGGTACATCGGTTAATGATATGGAGCTGAAATATTACACCAATTCATTTATAATATAATCAATAGCTTTGTTTTTCTACGAAACTCAGAATCACATGACATATTTTCGCATGGTATGATTGGACAACTGTCAACATAAAGTGTAGTTACAAAACACTTCATCTTAGAACAAAACGTGGGAACGATGGAGTATAAAAAGTTAATATGCTAGAAAACGATAATTACTTTATCTTCAAATAGCGAAGTTAGTGTTAGTAGAGAAATTGTGTAGTGTTAAGAAATTGAAACTAATGAAATAAATAAGTTAGAGAAACGCAAAGATATAAAGAGTAAAAAAAAGTTTATTTGTTCGTTTCTGATATTCGCGAAAAGCTACACAAGGGATGGCTTTATCTTCAAATAGCGAAGTTAGTGTTAGTAGAGAAATTGTGTAGTGTTAAGAAATTGAAACTAATGAAATAAATAAGCTAGAGAAACGCAAAGATATAAAGAGTAAAAAAAGTTTATTTGTTCGTTTTTGATATTCGCGAAAAGCTACACAAGGGATGAGTGAGAAAGTATAAAATCAAACGATGATTTTGATTAAAACATATATAGCAGGAATTATTTAACTCACAAATTAACGACGCACTTCTATACCATTCACCACCGTTTGGGTCCAGATATTGCGTCATGTTGAGTCGTTTTATGTGTTCGTCTTTCACAACACTCTAAAATAGATAGGAGACTTCAGTAGAAAACACGAGGTTAATTGCAATATTGGTGATATTTTTGTCACCATTTTTTTCTGGCTCATGTGCTATTGGAGGTCCTGTAACCAAAAGCGTTATGAATCCACAAGCAACGTGGTGGTTAAATAGTTTTTAAAATGTGGGTAAAAGTGGTTTAGGTCCATATAGACTCCATCGATCATTCCAGAGCTCACATGTAAGCGAAGAGACTGATATCGTGAAAAGTTAGAGCTTGATGTTTGAAACTTTTATAAAACTTAGAGCTATTTTAATACATAGAATTATAATGAATAAATTTATTTAACAAAAA